AAGAGCAGAGGAAGTAGGAAGCGACCTCTCAGTAACTGATACAGCAGGTTGAAGAGATCATTGTCAGTATAACACGAGGAAGCATTGCTAGTTTAGCTGAATTGCTTTCTTCTAACTTGCAGGTACTTTCATTCCAACGAGATGCGGGAACTACCAGAAGGCTTTTTCTCTAACATGAAGAAGTTAATAAGAGCGTAAGTCAATTAAAGTACACACTCAGTGCCTAGTTGAGGTGATTTATTAGAATCTTAATTCGTCTCTACCTCTCTACGTAGTGCATACAACGTCGCTATCCCCGCCATTGACATATATGAAGACCCATGAAGGTTCGCACTTTCCCATTCCCCCAATGGTGGGACGTTAAGTTATGAGAATTCATTCTTAGATCAGATGGGAATTATACCTTAAATATCTTTTTAAATTTGAGTACCTGTAATTTCTTAAGCACGTGTTCTCCTTTGGGATTCATTAATTTAAACTCTTTCTATGAACCCTAGCACTGTAGACACCAACCTGATGTGTTGTCACCTGACAAAAGAGGACGCGGACTGCGATTTTGCCTATGTCGACAGCTTTGCCAGTTGCGAGAATATGCTCAGAGATCGAGCCCCAAGGAAGTGTATTTGGGTTGTTGGTATCATGTCTCTGATTGGAGCTGTGTTTGTCATCACATGGCGAATGGTCTACAGGGAGAGAAATATTGCACAGCCAATCATGTTGACGCACTTGGCGGTATCCGATGGGTTAATGGGTATTTATCTGATCACCATAGGTGTGATGGATGCGATCTGGGCAGGGCAATACTACTTGCATGACTATAGCTGGCGTTCGAGTCTGTTATGCCAGATAACTGGCGCAATCGCAGTGTTATCAAGCGAGGTATCTTTGATGCTTATTTCTCTTATTTCTGCTGACAGACTTAAAAATATTGTGTTCCCTTTCAATATCGATGGACTAACCAACAAAGCCGCTCATGCTTTGTGCTTTATCATCTGGATTGTCGGTTTCATATTTGCTTTCCTTCCCACATTTGGCATCCAGTATTTTAAAGCCCCTAATGAAGGTCATCATTACTATGGCAGATCTGTTGTATGTATTCCACTTCAGCTCTCAGACTATAAGGCACCTGGTTGGGAATATTCTGTGGCTGTATTTGTTGGTTTGAATTTGGCTTTTGTAGCCTTTGTCGTTGTGGCTTATCTTGTAATAGTTGGAAACAGATTGTGGGTCCAGGCGATGTCAGCCAATACCCAGCGAGAGACAGCTCTTGCCAAACGGGTGTTTTTCATCATCCTGACTGACTGCATCTGCTGGATGCCAGTCATTGTTATTGGACTCAGGTCCCTTGTGGAAAAGTCGTTCAGGACACCAGGAGATCTTGCCGTGTGGATCGCAGTGTTTGTTCTCCCATTCAACTCCGCCATCAATCCAATCCTATACACCTTGTCCACCACACAGGTAATTATCTCTTTAAAATTTGTTAGTTTTTGCAAAATTATCATAAACGTGAAAGATCTGCTACTTCATCTCACTTGGCACACGTTATGTACCACTCGAACATATCACCGAGATATAAAT